CTCAGGGGTGTGAGGCTGCTGCCTGCCCTGCTGCCTGCTCTGCTGCCTCTTGTTCTAGTTGCTCTCAGTGCGTGAAAATTTTGTGAAAAAGTTTAGGGTCGTTATGCATTTTAGGGGGGATAGACGAAACGTCCTTTACACGATTTGTGAGTGTGGCTGTGGCATGTTTAGCCTCACTTTGAGGAAAGGAAGCTGATGTATTTTCCAAGTCGGCCAGAGAGACTTCTCTCTTCCCCTACCTTTTTAAAACTTTGACAGTTTCAACCAACTTCTCAGGAAGACACAGGCATTGTATGCAAATATTTTCCAATGAAACTTGTGCACATAAGCTGCTGGGTAGTGGGGGAAATGTCCCGTACGGGGGAGGAGTCTACAGTGGGTTTTCAGTGCTTATTACACATCAGAAAATCCTTGGAGGTGCATATCCTGAGACCAGAAATCCCAAGAAGTCAGGATTGTTGTGTTTATTTTATTTATTATTACTGGTTTATTTAAAATTGTGGATATTTGGTATGAGCTATTAACTGGATGACATAATGGGGCGAAAAACTGGTGAAGCAGCCAAAAGTGTGCAGTAGGTAAGTGTGCTACATGAGCTCATTCTGGTATGTGTGAGTTAAAAGAGCATTATTTCTAACTGATGTCAGTGCTGAATTGACTCATTGGTCTTTTTTTTTTTTTTTTCATGTAAAATACAGTTGAAGGCCGTGGAAACGTTGTGTTCACAGATTTTGGGGAAACGTCGATGATATGATTATACTCATGTAATTGGATGTGTCATTGCTCATGTTCTTCCTCTTGCCTTTATTCCAGTAATATGTCTGATGCTCTCGCAAATGCAGTATGTGAACGCTGCCAGACTCGATTTGATCCTGCAGAGAGGATTGTGAACAGCAATGGAGAGCTCTATCATGAAAACTGCTTTGTCTGCGCCCAGTGTTTCCGTCAGTTCCCAGATGGACTTTTTTATGAGGTGAGGCCTCATACTGTGCGTAAGAGAAGAGAAATAGCACCATTAAAATGCAAGGAATTAAGTTAAAATTCTGTCAGAAATACGAACGTCCATCTTTCTTGTATGTTTAATTTCTTAGCCCTAAACTTTTGTTGCTATTTTTTTGAGGTGCTTCCAACTTAATTTCTGTTTTTTCCTTCTCACATGCTCCTTCTTATACATCAGTAGCAACAAAAGCTGTGTGCTTGCTCTTTGGGCAAGAGGCATTTCAAACAGAAAATAGAAATTGTTTCTTAATATTTCATTATACGTAAGTGAATTTTGACTTAATTTCTGGACATTTTGTACCAAACTTTTTCCAGTTGAGCAACTGAAGTTGCAAACCCATTTAAAAATGAGCTTGAAATATTTTTACAGAATATGTGCAAGCATGTATTTTGAATAAAATGTTATTTTAAACATGCTGCGTTCTTAATTTGCTGTGAGTTTTAGCCTCATATAGGGGGCATAGTTCTAAATTACATGAGCAAGAAAAAACTAAAGCAAAAATGAAATTAAAGCCAACTGCAGGAAAAGGGATTTGGATATTTCATGATTTTTACTGCCTCATAACAGCATTGCTATTCAAATACACCAGGAAGTTGAGCCATACCTGGATATTTCTTTAAGAAAAATCCTCAGTTTAAAAACAGGTGTGGGGGGCTAGAACTGACAAATTTGATGATCTTGACTAATTGGCCATTTCAATGGAAAAGTCATGCTGAATTATCAAGATGTAAGAGTAGTTCTGTTATTCATGAGGGCTCCTTCTCTCTTGTTTTGTTCACAGTTTGAAGGTCGGAAGTACTGTGAGCATGACTTTCAGATGCTGTTTGCTCCTTGCTGTGGGGAATGTGGTAAGATGTGGTACATGTTAACACCATGGGGTAACAGTTACAGGGCCGTGCAAACCTCCCACCATCGCAGTGGCATCCACCCCCGGGCTGGGATTGTTGAGGACGTTTTAAGGCGCAGGAGCTCTGGAGGGAAACAAAGCATGATACCAGCAGTGGTTTGGGGTGTCCTGGTTGTGGGAATAACTGGGTTGTTTTCCAAGTTAGACTGTAATATTTATTGTGGAATTAAAATGGTAGGATTATGAAGAGCAGTAGACCCTTGATAAGACTGTTTCCTGCATGCTTCTCAAGGTGCTGCTTTCCTTTTGCAGGTGAGTTCATTATTGGGCGTGTCATCAAGGCAATGAACAATAACTGGCACCCAGAATGTTTCCGCTGTGAGCTCTGTGATGTAGCACTTGCTGACCTGGGTTTTGTGAAGAACGCTGGCAGGTAAGATCGAGCAGGAGCTCTGACAGTTTTATCAATATGTTACTGATACAGTAGTGAGATTTGAGAGCGGTCAGTTGTGCAGTGAGAGGTAAAGTTTGCAAAGGTACAGAAGAAGCTTTAAGGAATAGCCTGTCAGGACATGAGAAAATGGAAAGCCAAGGGTATCCTGGGCTGTATCAGCAGAATTGTGGCCAGCAGGTCGAGGGAGGGGATTCTCCCCCTCTGCTCTGCTCTGGTGAGACCCCACCTGGAATACTGCATCCAGCTCTGGGACCCCCAACATAAGAAGGATATAGACCAGTTGGAGCGAGTCCAGAGGAGACCATGAAGATGCTCAGAGGGCTGGAGCACCTCTCTTGTGATGAAAGGCTGAGAGAGTTGGGCTTGTTCAGCCTGGAGAGGAGAAGGCTCTGGGGAGACCTTATAGTACCTTCCAGTACCTGAAAGGGCTACAAGGAAGCTGAGGGGGACTTTTTACAAGGGCCTGTAGTGACAGGACAAGGGGGAACGGGTTTAAATTGCAAGTGGGGAGGTTTAGATTAGATATCAGGCAGAAGTTCTTCACAGAGAGGGTGGGGAGGCACTGGAACAGGTTGCCCAGAGAAGCTGTGGATGCCCCATCCCTGGAAGTGTTCAAGGCCAGGCTGGATGAGGCTTGGAGCAGCCTGATCTAGTGGAAGGTGTCCCTGCCCATGGCAGGGGGGTTGGAACTGGATGATCTTTGAGGTCCCTTCCACCCCAAACCAGTCTATGATTCTGTGAGTTCTGGAAAAGAAGGAGATTTCATGCAAGAGGCTGAATAGGAAGTGAGAAAAATGGATTTTGTGATCCTGGGCAGGCTATTTATCAAGTAAGCTGCTGAGCAGGAAATCAAGATACAGCAAAAGGTCAGGAGGATTACAGCAAAGCCTGTTCAGCATGTGAATCCCCGGTCTTCGGAAATCATTCATTTTATGTACAGAAATATATAAATGGTCCTAAGGTTTGGTTAATGCATTTAATTAAGAAATAAGACATAAAAACATGAAAGAGAACTTGTACAAAACATACCGTGATAAAAAATAAAACAATCAAACAGTTAGCAGATAGTGTTGCACAATTCATAGTTAACTGCAGGCTTTCATATGCCTTGAGCAAAGCCTAGTAGTTTTCTAGAGCTTATAGTCTCACTAACTAAATGGTGAAGAAGGGAGCGAAAGGTTATATGTCTGTACCCCGTCCAGCAGGGATTCCTCTCAATTGCCTCTTCTCTTCCATCCTGCATGCAACTTCTGCGCCTTAGTTTTTGAAGTTGGGCTTAATTGATTTTCTTTTGGTATCTAAGCTTGTTAGAATGGGCTGTTGTGATACATCTCCAGCTCTGAATGATGGAAAGAAGTAAAAAAAATTGTCGTAATTCCAGTCCAGGTTGGGTGCACCGCAGTGTTTTGGTCTTTTTTTTTTTTTTCTCGCCACCATTTCATACCAATTTTCTGTCTACTATGTATAAACGCTTTGAATTTGGAGACTTGAACCAGATGTGCAAGCATGCTGACTTTTCATCAGTCAGGTCTGTCTGAGGAGTGGATCTCTGCTGCTGGCACAATATAAAATTTTGAAGTAGGCTGTATTCATTGTGCAGAGGAAGAGTAGTTACTGAATGCTTTGGGAATTAAGGTTGGGTTGGGCTTTAAATGTCCGTTTAGTAGCCTCTTTGCTCCCTTCCCTATTCCCAAGTGATCAGCCCTCAGTTTCACATCTTGGAGATCAGTAGAACTGCACTTCTGTTTGCAGTTTCAGTAAGACAAGAACATGTGATCTCTTATCAGAGGGGTTCTTGCTAATTGCAGTCCCATAAAAACAACAGAACTTCCCCTCCTCAGGATGAGTTTGGCTCTGGGTGGGCTGTCCCACTGCATATTTGCACCCTCAGCTGATTTTGGTGGAATATAGCGTTCTTGAGTTGGAGCAGTGGTAAGATACATGTTCACAGTTCAGATTTAGCACTTAGTGAGCTTTCATTTGTCTTACCCTCGTACGTTTGAGGCAACATTACAGTCTTTTTAACACAAAACAGGTTGCACAAAGCCTCGCGGAATTTCTCAGCTACAAAAAAATACATGACTGGGTCAAAGGCACCATTTAGACTCGTGAGGCAGGAAGTGATGCGGTTACTGAGGGCGAGAATACGCTGTGTTTCGCAGGAAGTTTTGGTCCCATTGTAGTGGAGAATATAGATGTAGCGATTGACATGATAAGGTACAAAGCATATCAGAAAGATCATCAAGACCATGATGATCATTTTGATAGCTTTTTCCTTCAGGTGTTTCTCAACTCTGTTCCCACTCTTCAGGCTTCGGATGATTAATAAGTAGCATGTCACTGTAGTAACAAATGGGAAGGTGAATGCCACTGCTAAGGACACAAGGGCATGACGTGATGCCTTTTCTCTGTAGAGCTGCAGGCAGATTGTTGTGTTTTTCATCTCGACCGTCTGCACGCTGAGCAGCAGAGGTGCCATTGCAACCCCAACTATAACCCATAGGAAGGCACACGCCAGATGGGCGTAAAGGGACCTGCGGAGCTTGATGGACTTCACAGGGTGCACGATGGCTAGGAAACGGTCGATGCTGATACACATGAGGAAGTAGATACTGGCATACATGTTGAGGTAAAAAAGGAAGCCAGTGAGTCTGCATGGGATCTCACCAAATGGCCAGTGGTTACCAGAAAAATGGTACACCAGCCGTGTGGGAAGTACCAGCACAAAGGACAGGTCAGCCACAGCAAGATGCATCAGGAAAATGTTGGCAGGTGTGCCTGACTTTTGGTCCCGGATGAAGAGCCAAAGAGCCAGGGCATTGCCAACAAAAGCCAGGATGAAGTCCAGGAAGTAGAAGGCAGCAAAAAGGATGTTCTCCAGGTGTGTCTCTTTGCCACATTGCTCTGACGTTTCCAAAGAGAAATTTGATTGATTTGAGCAGTGGAAGAGTAGGCTTGAGGGGTTTGCTGGGCCATTCATTTTTCACCACGGTTTTGGGAAAAAAAAAAAAAAAGCTTCAAAAACCTGAAAGATTTAGACAGTATATTACAAAAGAGCCTGGTTTTGGGGGGGGGGGGGGAAAAAAAGGAAAAACAAACACCCAAAACCCACCCAGAGAACCACACATGGAAATCAGTCATGTCTCCTGTTAGCTAGTATTGGTATTTAATACAGGTCAGTCTGAGTTTAAACCCTTATATTTAAATTCTATATACCTCCTGCTCAGCTGGATTTTCCAGATCGTTAATTTCTGTTGAAGGAACCACGCTAAAAAGCCAGCTAGCTGGTTATGAGCTTGTCTCTAACCTTTGCTGAAATCAGTTCATTAACAGAGTGGTGACATGCTTATGTGTCTGGTTAATGGAACACTGGAAGTGGTTTCTGTATGTCTGGCTGGAAAGTAATTGCTATGTTTAATTTGAAAGCCTGATTCAGGACTGAAGAGTTCCTAACGAGTCAGCTGTTCTGAGCGTGGTTACCTGTTGTAAGGTGGCAGAGCTTAGAATATGTCTTGTTCCTAGAAGAGGTGGAAGACAGGTCAGATATTGCTGTTATTAAAAAAAACACAGGGTTCCTGTAAATCTTTGAGAATTATTTTAGTCTAAAGGCACATGCATCTAGTTCTAACACTACATTTCATCCAACTTTTCAGATGGGTAGCAGCATCTCATTTGAACAGCAAAAGGCACTGAATTGACTCAGAAAAGATAATTAGTAATCCCCATGCTGTTGGTTACTTGTTGAAGTGTCATACTTCCCTTCAGCTTTCTAATTCTCCCAGCATAACACTCTCTCTTCTTCCCTCAAAAGCCTGAACTCTCCACTGTAGCTTATCCAGGGCCTTTTCCATGTAGCAGCTTAGTAAAACTGAGCTTAGGTCTGCCAGTCTGTCTGTCGTCTGCAGGGTCCTGAACAGCAGCAACAAGAAGTGATGAGATTTTCTGGACACCTGCCCGTGGCTTTTTATACTTTTCTCATCTGTGGCCATAGGTGATAGGGGAATGCAGGCAGTCTGAGTTTCCAGCATTGTCCCTGTTTCTTGGATTCCTTAGGGGTGTTAGTGTATGTGCAGCAGTACCTCCATCGTGCTCACCATTGCATTTGGTACTGATTGACCATTTCTCCATAATTTTCAATACATCTTTAAATATATCCATTTTCTTCTACTAAGAATAAAATTTTAAGATGGTTGTTGACATTTTTAGACAAAACCTTTAATCTCAGGTAGAAGCTAGGCTATATGCTGAAATCTTACATCATTAGACAGTTGATTCAAGGCTTTACACAATGCATCCAGCTTCCCAACATAACTGATTATTTGGATATCTAAAAATACTGGTGGCTAATCAAAAAACTGAAATGGGATTAAGAGCAGACCAGTATATTGGAAAATGGAAACAAAATTGGTTTTGTTTGGCTGCTGTCACTTTCAGGTGGACAGAAAGCTCCAACGGCTAGAGATTATTATGCTGGACCACTTCTGTTTTGTTCACAGTTGAAGAGACAAAAGTCAGCAGAAGGGAGACTGAATACAATTCAGAAACTGAAATTTCTTCCTGTGGCCACAGAGGGGCCTTCTCACTCCATGCATTGCCTGGATACCTTGCATGTTTATGGCACAAAAAAGGCTAGGTTTGAGTGTATGGGTACCGCTGGCTGCATGCTTCTTTGTAGTCCTGGAGATGGCAATAAATTATTAACTTGGAATTACTAGAAGTGCGTGTGCAAGGAAGAATGTACATCCCTCTTTTTCCAAGGGATATTTTATCTATAAAAAATACATGTGACATCTTGCTTTCCTGTACAACAAGAAAACTCCCTGTTGCAGTTTTCAATATGAATTTCCTGGATTTGCAGAGGAGCTGGCAATTTTTGTTTCTAGTGTTTATTTGTCCCTTACAAAGTAAAACCTGCAAGTATTTTTGATTCTCTTGCATACCAAAGGAGAAACACGCTGAGGCCATGCCTTTTTACTGGCTGTTAATTTACAGTGGTACCTAGCGCTTGATGTTCTGGCTATGTACCCTTTTTTTGTGTCGGGCACTTTGTTTAAATATGCTTTCCATCTGCAAAAAATGTAATCAGGTGATCACCTGTCAGTGATCGGGGGGTCTGATGGCTAAGCATTTCTGTGTACATGCTTGTGTCACCACCTGAGAAAGCAGTAAATGTGGCTTGTATCAGCTGAAAAGGCAGAAGCAAGGGTTGTCTGATGGAACAGACAGGGTTGTCTCTGTTCAGGAAGAGATGCAGTAAACAGACTTTTTCCCTGTTTACAAGTGGAATACTAGGGGTTTAGCAGCATGATATATTGAACTGATTCTATTAGAGCTGATTTACTAAGGAGGATCTTTGTGATTCAGATTCAGCTGAGTGTCAGTGCCAGACTTGGAATAGCCAAGACTTAAAAGTCGAGTTTTGTCCTCACTGATGGCAGCGTTGAGTGTGCCGTTGATTTCTATCTGGATATGCTTTCACTGCAAAATACTGTGGGGTGGAGTAGAAAGGGGAATGTCAGAGCTGTCTAGAAGCCTGGTATGTCAGCTATTATCTAATTGGCTTTTTAGAGCAAGGTGAAGACAGGTGTTTTTCATTACCTGGCCAGAAATCAGAAGTATGCGTCATTCTAATTTTGCTTAGGTTTTAAATTAGAAGGAAATTTTAATCAGATTTTTTTACAATTCTGTTTGTTGACGTGAAAATTGTGGTGTAGCACTTGAGTAGGTTAGGAAAAGAGATGACCTGTCACTAGAATTCATTGTTGAGCTTATTTTTAGAACTGATATGCTTTCTACAAAATGCTACAACTTTACAAAGGTAATAGTTCCTTGACAGTGTGTTGTGTAGACAGTTGGGAAAGCCCTTTGCTGTTATTTACAGTTCCACTTCCATTTCGCCTGGTTTTATCTAATCAATTTAAAAGGAAAGTGTTTAATTTTTAGGTTTTTTCTTTGGTTTTTGTATGTTATGCTTACAGAAAACCCACTCAAAGTCCTAGAAATCTTGTTGTACTAGTATGTATGAATACTAAGAGCAAACTAGAAACCTTCCCAAATGACCTGGAATGTGTAGTTTATGGTAAGCTGTGTGATGCAAGAGACTTTGACTCCACAGACAGAAAACTACTTTAGGAGCCTGGCTCATTGACCAGTAATTTCCACCTGGATTGCACTCCTAGTGTTGTGTGAATATTTAGTGATTTATTTATTGCTAAACAGTGCACTGTTCTGGAATGAGCCATTATCTCAGGCCTCCCACCGTTGAGCTGTAATGGGGATGTCTCTGCTCATTAGAAATGCATGCACACTGACTGGATTTTGTGCCCTGTTCTCTTCTGCTCAGAAACAAACAAGACAACAATCCACAGGGTTGTCAGTACAGACACAACCTGATTACTCTTTCAGCAGATGTTCTATCTATCATTAATGAAACAACTAATAAGCATAAGAAATATTTAGCTCATTATAAGTTAGTTACCTGGCTACCTTTTGTTGTAATGCCCACTGAAGGTAAATTTGAACTATATGTTAGGGTTTGTAGTAGATATCAGAAATTCCTGTTCTTGCTCTCAGCTAGAGCAGTTTATTCTTTGGGATTATGCTACTTTGTGGGGTTTTGATTATGGTTGTAGTGTCTTGTTCAAATGGGAGCGTCTCCTGTCTTTCACTGAAAGTACTCATCTTCAGAAATGGTCCACTTCTGACTGAAATTACTCTCCTGAAAACCACTCCCTGCTGAGCCTCACACCCTTCAGCTGAAATACTTTTTTCTTGTGAGCATTAAAGCAGTGTCAGAGAGCACTGAACATACCATACAACTGTCATTTTTCCTGGCACAAATGGCTGTATGTTAGGTGCAGAAGTTTGAAAACTTTTGTGTTTTGGAGGAGTGATGTAGAGTGAGGAAATTATTCTTTGAAGTTCAAAAAAATGCTCCATGTTCTTAATTTCAAACATTTCCTACTATATTCACCCGCCTCTGCATGGGTATCTTTCCACCTTACTGACACCAGCTAAACTAATGCCATTAGGAAAGCTCCTTCATTATTCTGCTAACAGAAGTTTGTCTCTTACCTCTTTACTGTGCAGTCCTATGAGAGGGTCCTTTTGGGGAAAATCTCAAGGAATTCCTTCTGATGACAGCAAGCCAAATAGAAGCAGCAACGGTGAAAACTAAGATGATCCAAAAAGAGCACACAGTTTCAGAGTTGCTGAGGGTGGAGAGGGAAGCCCCTCTATATAGTGTCCTTCTAGCTCTGATAGTGCATTATCAGCTCAGGCATACAACAGAGCAGGGGAGAGGACACCCCAGCACTGAAGAGCAGTCTTCATCCCAGCTGAGCTCTTGGCACTGGGGTTGCTGCTGCTGTTATAGATATGAACACACTGTATGAATATTCCAGTGTTCATGGTGGTTACTAAGGGCTGCTACTGAACTCCCAGCCGTGAACACAGACTTCTTGGAGTCCCATGGTTATTTCAGGAGGGTGGAGAGAAGCATTGTTTGGGGGAACTCTGGTATTAATAGACACAACAGGACATTTCAGAATGGGATAATTCCATAATGGTGGGAGTGGGGAGGGGGAGAGGGAGAAGGGAAGAGGGAGAGGGGCGGCTGCTATGGTAACAGCTTAGTGTGTCCAACACTTCCCTTTGCTTGCAATAGAGGAGGGTCTATGGGATGGCAGAGAGGATTTGTGAGTGGGGAGGGGTTGATAATAGTTTATCAGTGCAAATGGCTGAAGGCATCTTATTCAGCTGCATGAGAGGGGTCTCTTTCAAGACACTTGCTTCAGGGTCCCTATGTCCTGCCCCGTATAATTACTCTGCATTTGACAGTGCTGAATAAAATTGATGCCTTTATGCTGAGATGAGCACAGCTGCATGTTTCCTTATAATGGGGTGCTGTCTGCTTTTTCTGGACTCCGTCTGGGCAGACAGTAGTTCCAGTCCTGGAGAGAGACACTTGCTGACGGGAGG